GTTCGAATGCCCCGTAGCAGTCCCGTCTCCAAGATGGATAAGCCGAGAGCTATTGGCTACATCGGTGGAGTATAACGGTGAGGTAGTACGCGCGGGTTTGCATTTCAATCGGTAGCTGCATACATGACAGGCGGGAAACTTTGACGGCTGGATGTCCAGCTCTGGTTTGAGTTGACGCTGATCGATGCTAGTGCTCACAGAGTGATTGCAACTTCAGCAGGTTTGAGCTGTGGTACGGTGGCACAATGATATGAAAAACCCAAAGGGAAAAAAAGGGAGACCAGGGAGTGTTTGACCAATAAGAGATGACGACTAATCACGTTACCATTGATCCCATGCCAGTCAATTGCTCTTATCTACCGACAGTAGCATCTAGCTGATGGGTAGGTATCAGCTTCTCCGGTCTATGCACGTACAATAGTTCGCGGCCCCGGGAGGTGTCACCTAAAGGGAGTCTTTGTGTAAGCGCACGTGTTAGGTACCTATTATCACCTTTCTATTCTTATACGATGCCATCCATATAAATCGTGTCGTCAAATTCGAGACGGCATCCTTAAGAATTACTAGAGCCGTAAATCTGCTTGACATTCACGTTTGTGTTGCCCTAACTTACATATCACACGAAGGTGCCAGTAAGAAATAATTGTAAGGATGAGTACCTAAGGTTAGGTACGGGTATTATGTACATACCTACCTACCTAATGTACGAAATATGCAGAAGGTTCCGTCTTATATCTAGAGTTACATTCTGCAGTGATGAGTGAGAATATAAGAAGATAGGTATGTACATATGTACGTAGTATACCTAACAGCAGAAAATGTCTATCAGCACTCTAACAAGTCGTTCGGGGGCGCATCCGGAGGAATCTGCCATACATGTACCTACCTACATAGGATAAGATGGATAGATGCGTCCGCCGTCCGCTATTGTCGCCCCCAACTTGGAGAATTCTCTCACCAGTCGCCAGCCGGGTACTTTATTAGAGTAGGTACATACCGAGGTAGGTAGTAGGCAGTCCACAGTCAGCCAGATAAAGCCTCAACGCCAGTGCGTAACCCTAGCGGCCACCCGACCGCCTCAGCCCGGTAATTTACTTGCCGCTAAGAACAGCCTAGCATCAGCTCCAAACAACCGTCCATGCAATTTGTTTCGGCTGACCTTTTTTTTTTCTTCCCACACGCTCTAGACCATCATCCCACGTTGCTCGCTCCGCTCCGCTTCACCTCATCTCCATCGGTTGGGTTTTTTTTTTTTCTTCAACCACCCTAATTTTAAATGGTGCGGTAGCAATCGGTTTTAATCACGAATGTGGTTCTTTCTAAAACCAGCATTCCCTACACACAGACCATTGCGATACCATATCTGTCTGGACATCAGACGGCATCAGACGGGAAACAGGGTGTTAGGCCGCCCCGAAGAAAAAAAAATACTTTGTAAGAAGACGCAGCCATGCGGGAGGGAATCGGACGTCGACCCATATGATCCGGCACATGCATCGACACCTTTGCTGATCACTTCCCGAGTTAGGAACGTCATGTTTCTTAAGTGCATTGATAAGTGCCGAGACGGTCTAGGCGAAACTTTGGTCTCGTCCATCGTCCGCCGTTCATTGGGGTGCAGGCTATTCTGCGTGGGCTAATTGAGTGTTGCAGATGCAAGCGTCGTTTCTTTCGCTGCCTCTCTTCTCCTCTGACTTCTGACTTGCCTCATATGTATATTTCCGCACAGACATTTCTCGTCAGAGAAGGGAATAGTCCGATTTCAGCGCCTGCTGAAACCACTTCCCTCATTAAGCAACGTGTGACTATCAGCTCCGATTCAGCATTGCCGTTTGAGGGAAGCCGCCCATTTCTCTCCTTGACCCTTGTCGTACTAACTACATACATGTATGTAGTCCCGTACGTAGGTAGTATAATAGGTAGAAGATATGGATAAGTGTCGGACTACGTAGCTACCTAGGCAGCATTGGGGAGTAGGTATGTATGTATGTAGAAGGAGTTGGGGAAGCAAGGCCGATGAAAGATGAGGTGGCAACGAGCGAAATCGCGTGCGCGAATGACAGAATTGCAAGGGCAGAGGCGGTCAGAAACAGGCGGCATGCAAAGCTCACCCAGCAGCAAAGAGTATATTCTCTGTTCGAATCATGATGCCCGGAACACGCTCGTCACACCTAGGATTGCGCGTCGCCAAGAAATATACCTGCAGGTGAATAGATGGGTAGATGGGCAAATGGGCTAGATACTATGTATTTGTATTTGTATTTTGTCGAGTAGGTCGACTTGGCTGATGATAGGTAGATGGATGGAGGGAAGATAGGTATGAGAGAATATGAAATTCACTTTAGGCCTTCCCTCCCTGTTCTCATATGCCCCATTTTATGCCCCCACCCTCGTCTGGCTGGCTGGCTGGCTGTTTGGTAACTAAACCCTTTGCAGCTCAAGATATATGTAGGAGTCTTTCTGATTGGTGGGGTTATAATGCTCTCCACACCGCGCCTCGAGGAAGGTTCGCAATTCTTATCTGTGCGTTTGGAGCACTTGCCAGCTTGCGAAGCCTGCCGATTCCCTCAGCTCTTGAATACCTGGGCACCCCCGTCCCTTTTCGTTCCAAGTACCCAAGTATCTTTAGCTGACGTGCTGCGTGGATTGGGGCTGCGATAGGGCGATAGGGTGATAAGGCGATAAGGCAGCATTCTAAATTCTCCTTTTGGGCATAGTCAAAACTTGCCTTACTCTCAGCTGGCCCCCAAACCCATCATAATTTCCGACTTCTTGCACGACAGCGCGCCGCTGATGTGCGATGATTCAATTTTGTTTATTATAGTTGGTGGTGCAGTGATTATTATTCGTCAGTACCATCAAATATCTTGGTGGTATTCGTCATCGTCTTGGTAAAGTAAACTGTTAGTGAGCTGTCGACGTGATAGCAGTTGTTATTTCCATCGACATCGTGATATCAAACAAAATGAGCACTAAAGAAACCGGGTGATGGATCGCGTATGCGTATCCTTCAGCTCGTGCCTAATAGTCCAATAAGATGCGTAATTCCTAATACTCACACACTTGAGTCAAGGTTGTTGTCCAACAGCTTCCCCTCCCCTCCGTGGCTAGATAGTAGTCACTCTCGCCCCCCATTTCCAGCATTAAAGGCTACAGGTTATCCCCATGCCTCCTCGCTATCCTTGTCAATCGATAGATCGCTGCTTTACTCCCCATTCAGCGATTGTTGGTGTCTATCCGCGATCTTTAGCTCTATATAACCATCATCTATCATGGAAGCGTCAGCTGCTCGTGAACTTCCTTCCCCTGATTTCCCCACTGCTGACTAGACCTTATTACGATTCATAATACTTATTCAATGTTTAAATCAGTGCCGTGACTCTTGTTCTGCGATTAATCCTTCCGTTGTCGATCTACTATCGCAGCCCGAGTACATATTGCCTTGTGCTATCATTAATCACTGCTTATAACCACTACCTTAAAGAGATGTCCGTAATCCAAAGGACTTCGTTGGCTACCCCTTTTTTATCACAGCTTTAATATCAGTACTAGACAACCGGCCCCTTGACGTATTCGAACATTAGGTACAATACCAACACTTGTGGTATAGTTATAGTCAGGGAGCTGACCTCAACCTAGTCTCACAAAACTAACCATGCCATAGCCCGTCACTCCCGATACTTGCATCGCCTTATTAGGATGGCTCGGCTTGCTCGAAACTGTCAAGAACAGCCACCTCTCCAAGGAGTCGGGGCACAATTCGAAGGCAGGAATGTGGATTGCATGGAGATGACCTTCGCTCTAGACGAACTGCCAAGCAGCCCTCTAGATATTTCGCCACTACTTAAACACGTACTTAACCGATCCATCGCTACCAACGACTTTCGGGTAATGTTATTGGAATCTAATGCAGTGGAGAGTTTATCTCTTGGAAGTAATCCCGAGGGAGGAGGCGAAACAATATAAAATAGCTATTTACAGTTGCTAATCTAGGCTAGTCTACAGTGCTTGACCAAGGAGGTTTGGTATCTATTCCTATATAAAGTCTCATATATATACATTCTTGATCACATGCAACCCTATACCTTATAACAGCTACCCAGATATTATAGACATATACATGTATATCCTATACGTTCTCTTCGACACACTTATCAAAGTTTTACTATATCGTAGGGATAAAGCAACTGTATTTAAATGCTTCTCCCCGCGAATATCAACAAGAGGGAGTAACTATTAATTGGTAATGGTTTTAAAATGTATATGATAGCGCCTGTAAGTTACCTAGGTATACTAGATGGATAAGAGCAAACATTGTGTAGGTCTACTTGGACCTAACTGAGCAATAGGACGTACACTTTGATTTCCTCACCTAAAACCTTTGTCTCGTTCAATGATAGCTAATTATATACACTTTATTTATAAATATAACTTTAATAGTCTGTCAATCCTTATACTATTTATATTTTGGAAGGGGTGGCAGTGAGATACTTAAAGGAGGCATGAGTCCCAGATCCCACAGTGCTCACTATATAATCTATACACAAACTACCTCTTCACATAACGACCAGCCGCTTAGTCAAAGGCACTATATCACTCTCTAGCGAATAGCAACATGGGGAATATCCTAAGTTTGAAATGGTGGTATTCATTAAGTGTATTTGCATTTAGTTACATCGACGGGCAGGTAGTATAAAGGCATTCGGAGCTGACCGTGCCCCAAGGACAGACATACCATTAATCTCTAAAACTGAGCCTGAGCCACGTAGACAGTTGTCCTCAAATTTCACATTACGCTTCGTCCTAGAAACCCCATCTTATCCAGGCTTCAACGCAATAATTACTCGTGAACAACTAGCTTTGATACCCCCACCGCCACCACCATCTTCCTTCTTTCCCCTTGACCAATATAACTAGAACATTATAAAACGTACGGCGGGATGAGAAGTGCAATAGTCTAACACATAGCCTTGCGATATTCTAGTAACCAAAAGAAATAAGACGCCACGAAATAAATCTTCTGTAGGATAGAGCTACAGCATAACCTAATACATCGCTAATAGCCCAACAGAGGCCTTAAAGTAGCTGTCGCCTACAGACGAGACACTGATGCATTGCCCCCGATACGTAACGATTCGTAGTCCCCAGCGGTCTTTTTTGACCACTTGCTTCTCCCATTGTACTGTTGAAGGCTAGTATTCCGGGTCAGCCAGCTCGAGAGTCAGGGTTAGGAGTATTTTATATCCGAGCTCCAATTGGGATCTAAATGCGTGCGTCCTATATATTATTTCTCGTGTACATCAACCGAGAAACTTGGAATCCAATAGGCAGGCATTCATAACTTCAAATCAAGTAGCTCACGCCGCAATACCATCAGTCCGAGCCATCGATCAAGCAACATTCCTATTTCTCGAGACGGAAAACACGTCGATACCGCCTTAGCTTAAGTCCAAGACTATTCTAAATGCCCCCCAACTCCTCCGTCTAGTCTCAAGTATTATATGATCGTAGCTATAATTCCCGCGTAGTCCAAGTTTCCTCAAACGTGCCCTTTATCATAATGGTATCTATTAAAATGCGGTTATGACTCCCCTATCGCATCTTACCCTGAAAATGCCTGAAAATCTATTCCAACTGCGCCCACCTCTTTTCCCGTACCGACAACTCCTTTCCTGTTAATTTGCCGTCATATTTGCTAGCCTCTCTCCACCCCCAATACTCTCCTAGCCTAATCTCAGCGTATTCCGCGTAGTCAAAATCGATGTGCGAGATGGTCGCCTGGATCAAGGCCCAGATTCCCCAGTAAAGTCCGGGCACACCACGGAATATATCTACTTCAGCAAATAGTTTCTGTGCTTCTGCTTCCTCGTCTATGTTATCAGGCTTGTTAGGTAATAGACTGAAGTAGGTGTGAATATATTCCCGTATAAACTCTAGCCGTTGTGCTCGAGTTGGTAACACAGTAAAGTCGCAGTCAAACCCACCCCATTCCGCAAAGTGGTTAGCCAAGTCGAACGCTGCAGGGGAAGGGGTGGCATATTCATAGTCTATAAAACTGACTACTGTCTGCGGACCGCCCTCCTTTTTAGTGCTGCTTAAATCTTGAGGCTCAATTATCACATTTCCACTCAGGAGATCGCAGTGCGCAAAGACAAGCTATTAGTACCTCCAGTTAGCATCCGAGAAAACTACTTGTTGGATTTCCAGTACTACTTACGCCATTGTCGCCCAGCCCAGGCCGTTGGCTTAGCTCGTCAACGAGCTTAGTTAGCTCCTGCTGGAGGGTCGCCTGTCTTGTGCGCTGGGCCTCCGTCTTCGTGGGGAGGGCAAGGATCCACTTCTGCATAACCGTCCATACGTTGGGCGAAGGTTTCCCTGGTGCGGCATGCTCAATTTCCACTTCGTGATGACCGTTGCTGGTCCCATTTACCCCATTCCTCTGCGCATGTGTCTCATATATGCAGGGCACGGTAGCGTGCCACTGTGCTAACCGCCTCGCAACAGCTAAATATATAGACGGCGTCCTCAAGTCGGCAGGTTGAGTGGCCGTGCCTCGGATATAACGATATATCATGCCATTATCGAAGCGGGCGAGTAATTCAGGAGCCAAGCCACATCTCATCAGCAGCTCGTGATTTTGGGTCTCGCGGTGCCTGTCTATGAGAACATCGGTTCCGTGTCCATATGCTCGTAGTAGAACCGCCTCCTTATCCACCTCGTCTGGAGATAGACCTTCCTTCTTATTGATGGCTTTTAGTAACGTGTTGGTTATACCATCCTTGAATGGTACGAATTCAATATTGGAGTCAGGACTCGACCATTCTGGACGTAGGGCGAGGATAAGTGCACGAGCTGAGGCATTGGAATTGTCGTTATCGTAGGAAATTGGAATGTGTCGTAACTGGCCAAGGTGGCCGTTGGCTACTCCGTTGGGGTTAAACGAAGGCATATTGCACACGTGCTCGGTCGATTACTTGTCGTTCTTTTTTTAGGAGCACAGTATAAGGTCATGGAGAGATCGAAATTTCGAAAGGATTTGCCTGCTTCTTCTGGAGTAGGTAAATAAATAGAAGAAAAAAGTTCACCGCCTAGCGTGCGAGTGGGAGAATATAGATTGTGGATGTGTCGCAAGGGTGATTAATTTAAGAGCGATCAAACGGTGAAGCAGAGGACAAACTCGAGGTGGTTAAGACGTTTTAAACGATGGTCGTACGTACCAACAAGCAGCAAAACGTCATTACCGTCCCGATGTAGAAGGGAAAGGGTGTGAATGATGTGCAATTGGGGATTCGCAAAGGATGTGGGTGTGGCAGGTGTGGTTAGTAGTGATCAGGGACCAACTAATCGAATTAATTGATCGAACTAAAACCAGGGGTGGCAGGGGTAGCTGCAGCCCTAGAGCACCTGAATCTTGGGAAGAGGTGGCAACGCCTACATACTGCGTGGTACATACATATGCACTTTCATCCCACTCGATCTTTTCTGGATATGTAAGTTGTGTCTTAAAAAATAGTAACTAAGTACCTTGTAATAGTATTTATTTCATGTAAGTGATCGATTTGAATAGGGACAATAGGATGAATGTAGATTAGGTATAAGAAATAAAAGTGTGACAATAATTAAAGAGGCGCAGAGAAAGAGAAAAGGAGTACGTACGAATAGTTATGTAATGTAAGAATACGTGCACATGACATATGCCTAAGAAAGGGAGAATTGTACAACTTCGTACCTGCAAGAACATCAAAGTCAAGAGTCACGAGGCCAGCTTCCCCTCTTGGTTTAAAGCTAATGCATGCGAAATGGAAGGTTAAAGATCAAGTATTAGAATGTACATAGCTCAAGCTTACCTCTACGTACGTTGCATGTGTTAAGCTCCAACATACATCTATTATATTTAATTCATCGTACGGAATACTAATGTTCGTACTCAACAAAGAAGTTTAGGTTTAATGGGGTTATATCGAATATATTTCTATTGGTTCAGAAGGGCTCAATTAAGTACACTACGTATATCTTGGGTAGCTTTATCTACGTAATATACGTGTATGTAAGCACTTTACCCAACTTACCTAGCCCACACTACGTAAGAATACATAGTAGATCACCTGGTACCATAAATATAATAAATGACCCGGATATATTGTACATATATCCTATTATACTAATCCATTACACATAGCCAAGTTCGTGCATCATCTAATATGACGTCTCGTCATATACTCCTATCAGATATTCATTCATGCCATTAACCAAAGTATATCCCAATTCGAAGCACAGCCCAGATCGATCTTCTTAATCATCTTTATCGCCATCTTTAGGTTTAAGTCTCAACCAGGTTCGAATAGTTTGAAGAAACCTGCTCATCCATTCCGCTGTGACGGCTGCCCAAGCATCTAGTTCGTCTATCGCGAACATGAGCAGCCTGCTGAAGAAGAACAGACTCACAAATGATACGCTCGCTATCACCGCAAACGCTGTCCAATACATCTTGCCCGTCCAGTACACATACAGATCCTCGACCTGCACTGAGAAGTAGCTCGTCATAAAACTAATCGGGAGGAAGAAGACGCTGAGCTTAGCCAGTAGCGTTGCGCTTCTCGTCAGTCTTGCCGTTGCCTGCGAGTCCTTCTGCTGCGTTAAGTTGAAGTACTGTGTATAGTTAGCCAGGTTCACGAACCAGATAATGTAATTGGCTGCTCTTTCTTACTGTAGTGGATAGTGCCCCTATCTCTTCGAGGTATCCTTCAATAGTGTTTAGCATGAGATACTGAAGCCGATCGCTTAACCTATCAAATCGACTAAGTGCCGAGTTTGATAGGTATACTCTTCGATCCCCATCGAATAATGCACCGTTATGATGCAATTCGGGCTTCCCAACTACCATGATTTTGCTTATCAGGTTTTTGTAGTTCTCGAACAAATGTTTAAACTCTCGAAGATCCTTGCTTAGATAATGTAACGTAGGTATAATCTCGTAGCTCTTGGACATTTTTTTTCGATGCTATGATATAACACTTAGTAGCTGTCATGTGGTCTCAATGGGGGGTTCGACGTACCGTACTCTCCAGCACTTTTTCGGTCTGCGCAATGAGGGTTAGCACCGTCCTTTCCATACGCAGGAAACTCGGCTTACCAGCTCTTCTAATTCCTGTTCCGCAGCCTTGAGAGGGCCTGCCGCAACGTAGTCCTCGAATAAATAATAGAAGAGGTTGCTTGTCCCTTCATCGGCCAAACTCCCTATTTCGCTATTACTGAAAAGAGACATCCCCGATTGCTGTCTATTTACCTCTCGCTTAGAGTTTGCGAGCGATGTCCGAACCGAGCTCTGAGCGAGTGGGTTGTGGTCGTATAGCCCATACCCTTGGGTAGAAAGTTGCCGGAGGATATCTAATGTATGAGCTCTCATATACTCGAATTCAGCTTGACGCCATTCTTGCCGGTCCTCTTTATCCGGGACTGGCTCTAGTGAGTGCCTCTCATGAATCGACAAAACAGTGTCTATTCAAAATATTAATAACTGTGCAGTGTCGCAAGGATACTAGCGTGATACGTACGGTTATTACAGAGTACGAGCCATTGCCAGTGTTTGGGCGGCATTATACCGATCCGAGGGTTTTTGCGTGCTGGTGTTGGCCGCTTATGTAGCCAATTTGCACCGATACAGAAGGCTTTTTTTAATTCTGTTAGCACGGGGAAGCAAATCTGTTATCCTGAGAAGTGTTTACCTTTCGGCGTTTGGTCCGTAGAGAAGTAATTTACTGTGTCTTTCACTTGTAAATATAAAGCAATGTTGTCGTTAAGCTCTGCGGGAGCAAGATGGTTCACAGGAAAGTCGCCATGTACGCTTTCACCTTTCTCCAAGTCCCTGAGCCCTCGTAGATGGGGGATTGTGACTCTTTTTCTGTGTTTATGCCGTCGTATCTCATCCCTCTGGGTTCTTGGCGTAATCATTAGACCGAGTAACCTAGGCGAGAATTCGTATCTATCGCTTATGGCCTTCATGATATCTATCTGCGCGCTAGGATCCCATATGTTACTGTAACCTTCATTAGTCTATTTGCCATAGCTATATCGAAGACTTATAACTTACATCCATCGAATAGGGTATTCTTTCTTTTCGTCGGGGTCTTGGTCAAGGAGCAGCTTCCTGGCATCATCTATATCAAAGTCGAATGCAATCCGCGCTCTTTCGGACCCGAACTCGACGACGAAATTCTTGCTTTCCTCATTTCTCACATGTTGCTCAGCTTTCTTAAAGACATGCTCCAGGTCGAAGTCATGGAAGACAGACCCCGGGCTCTGGGGAGGAGTTGTATCATCACTGGACGCCATCACGTAAGATCGAGTCTCGAGATTACTGATTATTGTTCTTAAGGCGAGAGTATAGTATGAACGTTAGTTAGATTGAAACTCATCGTGGGACTTATATAGTATTGCTATATTGTAAAAGAGAAAAAGAAATCGAGCGAGGCTATGATACAATACGGACTTTCTACACTTTTTCAGCTATTCGACGCCTGTCACAGGTGGTTCGTCACATGCAGGGATTGGTTGAGCAGGCGACATCAGGTCTTGGGGGGTGGGGGATAAGGGAGGCAGGGGAGGAAATGACCAATAACTAGGCTCATAGAATTGCGATCAAGAGCGGCAGATATCGGATCGTCCCATAAGGTTTAGTACCTAGGTAAGCACCTAGCCAAAGTTAACCGCCCGACCGGATTGGATCCCAGGTACCTGCTCTGCTCTGCCTCCTTGGACCCTACATAATAACCTTAGACATGCATGCAGCCGTCTAACAAACAGATTGGACTAACATCGACCGCAGCAACTGTTACATATGAGGTAGGTACCTACATATTTAAGTAAGATGGCCGTTTACATACCTAACTTATCTACTATGTAGCGTTATTTGGGCAACTGCGGGCCATAAGCTAAGCCGGTTTCTTATTAAGACATTAAAAGACATGGTAGCTACGATTGGAGTGTAACTCCCATATTTAAATAGTGACTCACATTCGTTTAACTAGTAGGAGGTACCTATAAAGTTCAATATCTTAGAAGGTTCATTCATATGCATCTCAACTTCTAATTTCTAAAACCCTCTTTCGTGAATCGTGATCTGCAACCAAGCGCGGAAGCGAAGCGGGCAAGCGGGTGGCTATGACAACCCGCCTACCGGTATCCATTACCTAGCACATCCGAGTCCAATCATCCTTTTCTCATAAGCGCGGCTGCATCTCGAACGTTGTCTCGAACCAACATGTCCGGTCTCACGGAATGGCGCATTGAGCTTATATCGCCTGACGAGCAAGGCTCCCGCTTCTATTTGGACTATTATAAGCCTTTTAGGCTGGCTGCGTTGGAACAAGATCCTGACGGTAAGGGTTCACCGACAAATGATTCTGTCATACGTGTTGGTGCTCCCCCGAGGTTGACACAACATGATAACTGATATGATTTACTGACTATACGGGTCTGGCTGGCCACTTATACGAATAGTCTTCGGCTCGACTTACGATAGAGAAATCAACTTTGGCAACGACGACTGGCTCAGCCGCATTAATAACCCTCTTGTAAAGACCTTCGTGGCCGTGCGTCTGCATGATAGAAAGGTTCTATCCGCTACGTCATTAATTGGACCGATGCCGAACCCGGACCCAGCCAGCAATCCGTTCCAAGCCAGTTCCGAAATGAGAGATGGCAGCGATCATCATCACCGGAATCACGGTGAGGCCTCATCTGTATATTTCCAGATCACCGGTGTTTACACGCTGCCAGAGGCTCGACGCCAAGGTCTCGCTAAAATACTAGCTGAGACCGCAATACAAGAGGCGTTCGCTTATTCTAAGCAGCATGGCAAACGCCTCGAGCTGAGCCTCGTCGTGTATACGTCAAACGGCGATGCGATATCATTCTACGAGAGCTGCGGCTTCGTAACCAGCCCAGAAGGGGCAAGGAAATCTTTTAACCCTCACAAGAACGCTTCTGCCGACGAAATTTGTATGCATTACCAGAAGTCCCCTGAATGACACTTTTTTCTCCCTTCTATCAACCCCTTAAAAAAGTAAAATGAAGATTACTCCAGAGATCTTCTTTAGATGATCCGCTTATGGCTCAACTAGCCGTCCATTCTGACCAACTGTAGACGGCGCCCCGTCTAGTAGGGCTTGGCAATACAGTCAAAAAGGGCAGCTTGTGACGTTCGAGTCCCCTGGATTGGCTCGCGAGCGGGCCGAGTAATTAAAGATCGCCTAAAGGCTGCCCCCAAAACCGACAGAGATTATCGTCTGGCACGCCGATAATCCTAGTTCGCGATGTTTCATACCTTCACCAGCGAAGACTAATAGTATGATCCCAGCAATCTCTTTTTTGGCTCGGCAGCGATGCCGAGTCCTTTTACCATACAATATGACGTGAAATCCCGCGCTGTCAAACTTCACGTCGCTATCCCTATTTCTTCAGCTCCACGCTCTTTCGTTGTCACTTACATAGCACCATATCAGACAGGCCTGATAGCATTCATTCATTTTCAGCGCGTAAACATTCGTTTTCTAGAAGAACACTATTTCTAATAATATCACTCTTTACATACCATATCATTCATTTATCAATCCGGCAAAATGTTGGCAAAACAGCAAACCGCAACTCTCCTATACGCCGCCCTCTTCGGCTCCTCCCTCGTGCAGGCCGCGTTCCCGACTTGCATTACGAGCTGTGTCCGACAGAATGGTTGCCCTCCCACCGACGTGGACTGCATGTGCAAGAAGGTCAGCGGCAGCTTTTTGTCCGACGTCGTGGTGTGTATGAACCAGTGGTGTTCGTCCGACACTACTCTCGCGGAGTTGGTCAACCCCATTCAGTCCAGCTGCGACATCCCCAAGTCCGCCCTCCAGTCTGCTGAGAGCAAGGCTGGTTTCGAGACGGGCTCTATCTCTAGCTCTGACTCCGACTCCGATTCTTCTGATGACGAGAAGCCTACCTCTACTGGTGGATCCTCCACCGCGAAGCCCTCGGTCATCATGAGTGTTGGCGCGCCTTACAAGATCGACGGCCCCAGCTCGTCTACCTCGGGCCCGGCGCCTACTGGCAGCGCTACCAAGGGCTCCGCCTCCAGCGTCGTTTTGTCTGACACCACTGCTGTTGCTGGCCCGGCTCCTACTGCTTCCGAGTCTCTCCTAGTCGCTGCTACCACGTTTACTTCCAGCGGCGCCGCCAGCACCCCCACCTCCACCGCCAGCTCTTCCAGCTCTACCTCTAGCTCCAGCTCCAGCTCCAGCTCGGACGACGAGGATTCAAGTGCCCAGGGCTCCGACGGCACACCCGGCAGCGCCCCCTCTGGCGACTCTACGGAAGAAGGCTCCGCCTCCACCAGCCAAGCCTCTCTTCTCGCCGCCGTCCTAGCTGTCGGCGCTGCCATGGCTTTCGGCTGGTAATCGTCAGCCCGCTAGCCAGTCTAGCAGCGGCTCTTGCTGGCATAGGGGCCGCGCAAACACGATGTTGTTGTTTTTCCATTCCAAGTGTACGTATTGCGTCAATGTATAATAATACCCTAGAGAGAGAAAAAGCGGCAATGGATTACCATGGATAAACGTTTTTGCTGTGCCGGGCCGGCCAGCTGGTAGTCTCGCAAGACATTGCCGTAACAGACAGACGGACGGACGGACTTGAGCGCAGCTAGTTAGTTAGTTGATCTGTCTGGTGAGGGGGAGAAGAGCGATCTGCTTGCGGTTCGCGCGGTGGAGATACCCTGATGCGGAGGTGCTGCCTCGGTTGTTGATTTTGATGTTGTTAATGTTGATAGTGGAGATAATTAAAACAGAAGCTCGATTATGAGAAATTCTTCGTTGGTATGGTGCTTTTTGTGATATGCTCGTGCTAACGAGTTAATGCTTAAATTTGGATTAGGTTGATTTAGTATAGGGCATGTTGTATAGTGAAGAGGTTCTTAAATCGGACTTACGACATCTGTATAGTAGTTCTAGAGGGACTCGTAATTCTAGCATGTTGGACTTCGGCGAAAGGGGTTTCCCCTATTTCAGGTAGTTTAAAGTCTAACCGGCCGACGAGTGGAGGTCTAATTACTATGGTAGCTTATTGTCTTTCCAACCCCTGAAAGGGGACAAAAGCACATTAGGAGCCATTTAAAATAGGAGTAACTATACACTAGTTATACGGTATGATACATCTACTTCGTACACGAACTAAAACAAAAATCAGGAAAAAATCATCCCTTTTTTTAACTCGACAAGGTAGCTAGGTAGCCTTAAGTGTTTATGAGTATTATAGCCATAGCCATTGCTAGCTACGATAGATCCAAAGATATCCGCCCACGCCTCCCGCATACAATTCATTAACTAGCCCCCAGATTCGAACCCGAAGTCGACTCGTCACCCAGCAACACTTGTTCAAGGATCCCTCTATACCACCCATCGATACCCTTCCCTTTCTTCCCGCCACCACCAGGCGGCGCTTTAATATCCCGCTCAAGGAAAGCTCGCGCAACAGCTTCTGCCTCCTCAAGCTTCTGCGTCTCCGAATCCGATAACCTGGTACACACAACCTCAAGATCTTCATTATTAACAATCATCAGCATAATCGACTCTGCCCTCTGAACCACCGCCTCATCAATACCGTTTATAGCCGCACACCGACTACCAAAGCTGGAGACGCTTCGGCCTGGAGCCAGCTGGAAGAGATGCGTAACTTGATCTTCCATGGTCGGAGCATCGAAGTCAACTCGGATTTCCATGTGCGCAAAGGCTAACTCTGGGGTCTCTACTAGGAACTGGCCCTCGAATATCTCGTGGAAGTGCGTGGCGGCTAAAACCTTTGGCCGCTCGGGACCGAGAGAAGTAAAATGGTCTAGTACCGCTGTGACCAAACCAGCACCGTCTAGGCTGTTCGTACCTTTGCCAAACTCATCTATTAACACAAGACTCCTACGTGTTGCAAAGTTCATCGCAAAGGCAACTTGACGTAGGTCGATGGAAAATGCGCTCTCATTCTTCGCCACACTTTCACGTGTAGCGATACGTGTAAGAATACGATCCGTGATTCCGATCCGAGCTCGTTCGGCTGGGACGAAACAGCCAATATGTGCTAGATAGACAATGAGAGCGGCCTGTTTTAGATATATGCTCTTCCCGGAGTGATTAGGCCCTGTCAGTACTAGGGTGCTGGGATGTTCTATAGAGTTCCGCTCAAGCTCTGCGGAGCTCTCATCTTCTCCTTCGTCATTTTGTTCACCTGGCCCGCCAGCGAGGAAGCAGTCGTTAGCAATAAATGACGGGACCACAAGCTCTTGCAGAGGATGGCGACCCCCTTCGATGTGTATGATATTTTGAGTAGTCATTTTAGGTGCAACCCAGTTGTACTGCCCGCAACCAATCGCCAGCGCGAACAGGCTGTCGAGTTCACCGAGAACATCAGACGCTGCAATGATGGCTTCCCGTTGCGCCAAAACCTTTACAGCGAGCTCGTGAATAATCTCAATCTCCCGGTCTACAGGATATCAGCCAGTCAACTAGGTATTGTAGCGTATAGGGAAAAAGGGGGGCGTACCAATAATCATACAGTACGCATCTCCAAAATGCTCATCCATCTCCTTCATCTGCCGATTCTTATAATATACGCAACCCTCGGCTACAAACATACGCTCCCATACATCATCTACACCTTCGCCGTTATAGTTACCCTTTCCTGTCTCGGGGTTAAGTGAAACTACCGTTAAGAAACCTAGTTGCGGAAAGAATATGCAGTTTTGTATGTATTTTCTCGCCCATTCCGGCAATTCGCTTCGTAGTTTTGCGATGACGGTGGTTAAGAAATGTTCCATGCCATCATAACTACGTTTCAATTCGTCTAGGTCAGCATCCACGCCTTGTCTGACGGCTGTCTTTCCACGTTCCATTGACTGATCAAAATCAACGGTTTGACTAATGAGCTCGCCTACTTGACGAAGGGCAAGCGGCTGAATGACACTGATCACCTGGTGACACTTTGAGACCCTGTGTTAAATATAGGAATTGGTCACATCTTACCTTTCTAATGATTTCAATATTCTCTGAACCCGGCAGGGTGCGAAGTGACTCTCCAATCTGTAAGCTATAGGCTGCAAATCGTTGCAGTGAAGCCCAGACATTATTCGCTATAGACATTTTACGCCCAGGGGTGTCGACTCCCTTTTCAAGAAGGGCTACTACCGATTTCATATTCTTGACTTTTTTGAGCTCGTTGCTTAGCTGAACAAGGGCCTCGGCATTTCCTGGTCGCAGCAGGAAAGATATCGTCTTCTGGCGGGCATGGATCAAATCAATATTAGTACTTGGTCGTAGGAATATCTGGCGGAGTTTTAATTTGCCCTGGGGTGTACGGGCTAGATGTTGAAAGAGCCCGTAGACAGACAAACTTTCTTTGGCCCCTGAATTACTGGGACCCCTTAGATGGCTGTTTGGATGATACTCAGACTGTAGAATCTGAAGGGACACTAGAGTATCAGCGTTGACGAACATGGAGTCAAATAAAGCGAACATCTCGACTGATCTGATGCTGAATGCTACTAGGGCATCAGGGTCGTTTGGTAAGTAATTTACGGTTCTTCTTCTCTGAAGGTCTCCAAGCACTGCGCCAGCACAGCCTATCTGCTATTCGTTAGAATGATGACATAAGATAACTAGACGGCAATATCTAACCGTTAGTCGGCTGTCAAGGTTTATTGAAGTCGCGAGGCGCATCAGGCGACTTTGCCTTGAGCTTTCATGTCCGCCAATATCATCGGCTTCATCCATGATGTCGTCAACGACGGATGTGAAAAGCACGCTCTGGCGGCCAGGCGTTTCAAGATTTAGTGCCAACAGTTTTCCCTTTCCAACATCATAACGGAAGTCAGCGGAGTTGAGATTTCTCAGGATATATGCGCTCTGCAAGTCGTCTATAAGACTCATTAGTAACGCTTGACACATTTATACCGATACTTTCCAGCTTACCTTGATTCCCGTCCACTCCCTGTGCCCTCCTCGCAAGATAATCTGCTAGTTTTTCTGGGGCCCTGGCGGATATAAGTACAGTAGTAGGGTTGACGTGGAAAAGAAGTGTCTCAACCAGATCCATTCCTGACATAGCCACGTCTTCAAGGAGGAACAAGGATTCATCAATTGCGATGTAATAAGCACAACCAAGATTACCATTTTCTTTCATATCAATTGCTAGGATGATTTCGCTTAATGCATCTGTATCTTCGTTGGATAGCATATCGTCGATGTGCGAGTCGTTATCACCTTTAGGACGACTGGAATTATTTGCTGAGATCTGACTGGATGGTGGACGTAAGGACAACCTCTGTCTTTGAGGATGCTGTGGGAGATAGGGGGAAGACGGATAGGGCTGTATTGTAGCCCTTGAGCTTACACGACTTAGGCTCCCTCTTAACGAACCCCTATTTGACGAGCTGAGATATGTCGGAGCGGCATGATCCTGTACTTGATTGGGAGTTGAGAAGACACGATTGTTTATAGCAGACGGAACGAATAATGAGCTAGACTGGCTGAAAAGATTGGTACGAACTGATTGCTCTGACGATACCCCAGACGGAGTCTGATATCTTTGACTGGGCGGCATATTGTGGCTCTGATTTCTCAAAAGAGAGCAGCCTACATGGAATATAACATAGGCACTTTGTACTTAGTAAGAGATGAAGGGAGATTGTTGGTATACGGGTTGGTTGAATTAGATAAACTGGCATCTCCGGCTAAGAATTTCTCGATTCTAGTAATGTGCATTCTTATGGAAGGAGCAGTTGATTTTAGGAGCAATACCTATAGAAGGTGCCATCTCCCCGCGGGGTATATTTTCCGTGATTTCCGGAGACACACCTAAGAGCACCTACAATAGAGGCAACGGCGTTCCCACTCGACTTCGGTTCGTTCCTTCAATAAACCAATCAATCCACTAGGGCCGGTGCCGGCAGTACGTGTGGCATAATTCTATTTCGTCTTGCTCCATATGTGCGGCGAAACATAGCGTAGTACCCTAGTAACTTCGAGCATGTCTCCCATTTGTTACTCTATAAATTCATGAGAATAGCAAGCTTGACCTGGTACCGGCGTTTTCGGGTGCCTTCTATACACATTGCTCGAATTCGAGTCTATTTGTTTTTAGCCCATTCAGCGAACTCGCTCCTCTGTTTCCGAATATCGACAAATCCTGGACGACTCTCTAATAACCGGAATGGGTTCCCAACGTAGTCTTTCTCTACCTCTCCACTGCTGTTTAGAAACCCTGTCTCGCCCTCTCGCTCAATCTTCCCTGCCCAAACACGCCATTGGATTGGTCGCAAGTTAGACGTCCCCAATACCATGCCCAGACAGACAATAAACGTCGCGACGATAGTTTCGATGGTGATATCGATCGGTAATGTCGTAGTTGCGCCACTGTGTGATGTGGTCAAGGAAGAGAGCGATGCGGCTCGATGCGTTTGTAGAACAGAGTGTTCGTAAGCAGAGTAACACCTAAAAACGGAAGCTACTGTAAGCTGTAATATTCTCCCAGCTATAACAACAAAAAATAGGTGTCCTTACGAGTCTGCTAGAAGTAATAGCCCGAAAGCCGTTACTAATTTGGAAATCCAAGTCATTTTTTCGGGAGTCCGGGTAGGTGGTGAATAGGTAGCTTTTCGCAAAAACAGTGATGATGTCTAAATTGAATGGCCAACCTATTCAATGGGTTACCATACAGAGTTAGGTAGCTTTGCCAAGAGGGCAACTACACAATGCACTATACTGTGTACGTAAGGGTTGTACCTTACGTTGGCATCTAAGTGGATACATAATATGTAAAATTTAGGTATTATGCACTAAAAAGGTATTAACGTATGATTCACGCAGTTCACGACGGTAACACCTAAGATAGTAACTTCCCTACTATCGGTGCTACTCATCGGTCCTACTGGTAATTTACCCTGTGCCTGCCCGTTTAACCACGGGCACTGTACTGAGGTTAAGACCATTAGTTCCTACCTTGGCGGTTTTAGTTATCCGTGAGGCAGGTACTATGGTGTTGTGCAGGTCCGCGAAAAAAACCCCGCAATGTAAGAAGGGAAGCTCCCCGCAGAGATCTTGAAAACTACGTAACCATCGCAGTAGTTCGTCATCTACTACAAGATCAATTACTTTCTATCTCTAAACCAACCCGATCAAGCATCAGCACCAGCACGACTCAATCAGCCATCCTTGCATCATCCAACATGCCTCGTGTAAGTGGCTGGCTTTGTTTACGCTTTTTTCTTTTTTCTTTGTGCTTTTTTTTATGTTTTTTTAAAAAGTTATCTAACATTTTGAATTAATAGGCCAAGTACGTCCTGCTCGACTGCGACAACACGCTTTGTCTGTCGGAGCATTTGGCCTTTGAAGCTTGCACCGAATTGACCAACGAGGTCTTGGAGAAGTATGGCAAATCCGAGCGCTACACTGTCCACCAGCTGCTAGAGGACTTCGTCGGCCACAATTTCCGTGGTATGCTCAATGGCTTGCAGAAGAAGCACAACTTCACCATGTCACCCGAGGAGGTGGATGCATATGTCGACCGTGAGCTCGGTGCCGTTACTACAAAGCTGAGCGAGAAGTGTCAGCCCTGCCCCGGCGCACCTGAGCAGCTTGAGTGGCTCAAACAGCAAGGGTACCCCATGTCTGTTGTCAGCACTTCAGCCAAGCCCCGTGTCGTTGCCAGTCTGAAGAAGGTCGGCATTGACCACTACTTCCCTGACGAGCACGTCTACAGCGCTGCTACTAGCCTGAACCCTCCTTCTAGCAAGCCTGACCCTGCTATCTACAACTACGCCTGCGAGCAGCTGGGTGTCAAGAATTCGGAGTGCGTTACCGTCGAAGACAGCAAGAGCGGCGCTACCGCTGCCATGCGTGCTGGTATCCCTCTGATTGGCTACGTCGGTGTCTACGGTATCGAAGAGGGCAAGGAGAAGATGGAGGAGATGGCCAAGATCTTGACCGAACAGTGCAAAGCCAACGTCATCATGTACGACTGGAAAGAGTTCCCGGAGTGCCTGAAGAAGATCGAGGAGTCACTATAAGTCGACTTACACGATGAAGTCGGCTCGCATCTTATGGAAGGTTCTCCTGCTCCATGCGGCCATCATACAGATTTTTTTTGGGAGACTGCTTTACAATTGAGGAATCTTGCCCATCGGCGGTACCTTTGATTATTCTCCTTTGCGGATTTAGAGAGAATGCATTCGGATCTCTAAGCTAATGACAACCTTCTCACATGAGACGGCCATGGACAATGCCATAGAGTCGAGATGTATTTCGAGGCCGGCTAGATACTGATTTCGCGTCTGACTTTGCGTTAAATACCGCAGATAAATAAAAATGGCTCATTCCACGTACATTGATTCCGATGTGATTCTGTTGTATCACAAGTCGAGTAGAAAATCGCACAAATCACTGCGGGGGTATTAGGAGCAGTGACGTTGATAAGTATACTTTGCTTAATTGTGTTGGCCGATGTGGACCTTGTGATCCCGATCTCGTGGGAATATAGTACCGAGATATCAATTCTCTATGCCTATGTTAATCTTTTCCTTAATAAGAGCTCGTAATTGAAGCTGCGGCTTCATGGTAGGAATTATACTACGCCTGTTTAAGTATAAGCAAGCACCGTATCGCGGCAAACTTCCCTCGGGAATACGAGGCTGTCGCTAAATTAAACCACAATTAAATCGAGGAATAATATTCATTAAAAATTAGGTATCATAGTATATAGTGGCTGAACGGACACGGGTTAGGAGTTGATCATGAGATCGGAAGGGTGTAGTACCATTGTTTATAGTAGAAACCATGATTGTCTCAGGAGTTGACTTCAAGTAATACAACTCTTAAGGTGGTTATTTGACACAAATTTTGACCATACTCGGATTTTAATGTCGAATATTTTCATTTAGAATAGACGGATGTATATACTGTATGTAGGAGCATACCTGCATAGGAAAATTTGGCGTTGAGGATAGGCAGGCCAATCGTAAGTTATTAATGAAGTTGAGATGATATTGTAGGCGAACTCTACAGTGTATATTAATACCTACTGCCTACATATCAGGTCAGTTCACTTTATTACCTATCTTATTACCTAAGATAACCAAAGCCGCTGCCCCTTTGAGTTGGGGTAGAGTCTTGGCTTGCAGCCGAGATCTTTCACCTCTACCGCGTTTACGATCAGAAGGCCAGGACGTTGAAGCATACCTTGTATATGCTGTAAGTAAACCAACAAGCTTCTGCCGCTGGGACGACGGCCCAATTGTTCTTTGTACATACATAATTCACCGCTGCACGGGAGCCTTTCTGGCTTAGGTGTTTGCCACATGGTCTTTGTTATGTTATGTAGTTGTACTGTACTGGACGCGATGCGGTGGATTCGACCGACGTCAGCTCTTTGGAGCTTGCGTCGGGATGTCTGGATGTACTGCACCTCGTATTCTCTAGGCCCTGGGGGCTCTGAATGGCAACGGGCGAGCACAGCCACCCCGTCTCTGCTCCGACGTTCAAAGACAGACTGTCCCACTCGGGTCTAGGCTGTTGTTGGTGGGACAGCGCGCTGCGGAGGGACGTGCTGTGCTGCTTTAAATAGCAGCGTACTGCGCTATGCGAAAGTGGGTAACCGGCGCTGTGATGTTGTGATGCTTGCAGGGTTTGTTGCAATTTTTTTCGGACTTGCGAGGGCGGGTCGAACAACTAACTCTTCGGTAGAAAACTGTAGAAATATACTGGAATATTCTAAGACGAGACAACTTGTTTATGTAGTGTAGCTTGTTGAGTTAGTGTAGAGTATGTAAAGAGACAAAATGTGTTACTCCGGTGATGGCTAGGTCTATACATTTTTATTTATTTATGTTTGCCAATATGTACGAGTACAACATAAATATGAGCATGATATATAGGTACCTAGATAATACACGACTGGAATCTAGAAATGACAGCAGAGCAACCGATGCGATTTGTCTGGAGTAAAATGAAGTCGAGATCTAATATGCTAGATCTTCTCGCCACTACCACGTAGACAAGACATACTTATCAGGTGAAATTATAAAATTATCAGTGCTCGAAAGATCAATAGTTATCACACAACAATATGATGAACTTGGAACGATATTAGTCAATCATTGGTTTTCTTTCCAGCTTTTCGCTCTTTTTCTTCCCCACACGCCGGACAAGATGGTCAGATCGCCCCTGATCATACCAGAAAGTAGTAACATGCTAAACTCCCCATGTCTTGGAGACAAACATACGGTATATACATATACGTACCTCACAGTTACAACACAGCTTATGTATATGTAGATATGTATATACATAGTAAATACACTACACCTCGGCTCGGCTTCTTATACTATTATCGACCGCCTCCGTCTCATACTTTCCTACTCCTTGTCTTAACATAACCAAACACCCCCGATCTAGTTGCGGAATATCCATTAACCTAGCTGATTCAAAACCAGCATTGCAATCAGGATTTCCGTCGAGGCTATGTATGATAACTCTTTGGTGATTGATGTAGCATGAAAAAGAAGGTCGTATTTTAATTGTAATTTAGCTGCAAACCCCTGGCTCGGCTTGGATCCGGCCCACCAACCATGGCAGCCGAAGCCATGCTAGTCTTAGATTGGATGGCTTTGAATGGTCATGCATTGTAACGCGCGAGGCCGACACGAAAAATTGGACAGCTCAATGACGAGAAATGGAGGCGTCTTAGCGCTTTTCTTTCCTTCTGATGGACGAGGCCCCCGTCAGCCCTGGTCCAATCCATGACTGCTAGCAGGCTTCCCCGGGGGCGCGCCACATAGTATGGAGAGACTTGGTCTCTGATTCATTTCCTTATTAAATAGTCGATCATCCACTGTCTCCTTTGTTTTGGTTCTCGTTCTTGTCTTGCCCCCGTCCGATCTGTGTCGTATATAAGACTTCGTCACTCGCTCGTCCACAAGAGATCCAACTTAGCTCAACGGCTTCGTCTACATTCGCTCTGCTCTCTTCTCCGTATAAATAATCACCTAATAATACCTAATTATTTTACACGCGAGTTGTACAAATATCCCTTCAAGATGCGTTTCTCTGTAGTAGCCGCCGGCCTCCTCGCCACCGTCGCGAGTGCCCAGTCCGAAACCAACACAATCACTGACGTTGTCTCGGATGCCGAGTCCTCTGCCACTGCTGCCGCCTCCGACGTTACGTCTGCCGTCCTCTCAGTCGTCTCTTCTGCCCTCTCCTCGGCTGAGCAGTCCGCCGGCGAGTCGGCTACCACTGGTGCCACCGGCTCAACTGGTTCAGTTCCCTCCGTCACCGTCAGCATCGACCCTGCCCAGAGCTCCGCGCAGTCCGCCATCCTCGATTGCCTCAAGGCCTGTAAGTAGAAACATACCCGCTCAGATAAAACGCCCGAGATCAGTAACTAATCAGTACACGAATAGGCGCCGATGACGATGTCGACTGCAAGGCTTCGTGCATTTCTGTGCCTAGCCCCGATAACACAGCCGTCAATCAGACCACCGAGTGTGTAGCCCAATGCCCTCAGGGCAAGGGCACTGCTGCCGACAACCAGGCCTATGCCGACTGCGTAAGCGGCTGCATTGCCAAGTACTACTACACCTCGACCGGCGTCGCCAGTGCTACCATTACCACTGGCACTGGCAGTGGCAGCAGCCGTACTACCACCGCTACGCCAACAGTCACTCAGGTTGAGTCCACCGTCACCTCTGACGGCTCTACCTTCGTCACGTCGTTCTCCACCACCGTCGCTCCCGCCTCAACTGAGACCGCCGACTCGTCCGACTCGTCCGCAACCACGTCTACCTCCTCCGCCGGCGCTGACATGCTATTCTCCCCTATCGGCTCCGGTGTCGGGCTCTTCTCCTTCCTGGCTGCTTTCCTCGCTCTATAAGTGTGGAAGTTAACCTGTACCTATAAGTTGAATTTTTAAACCGCTATGGATAGTAATGGGTATGGCTGGGTATATTATAATGCTGCCAATGTTGGATGAGAATCTGAATACCAAGGCGAAAGGAGTAGATGCATGAACGGAAAATCTTTAATATTGGATTTGGCACGTCGATACTAATTGCAGATGTAGTCACGTTATATATAGAACGCGAATATGAACCTGAAGTTGACGACCATTCATCATTTACCTTATCCCTTCTATGCTCTTAGTTCTTACGTGATGCCGTTTTTGTCCGAATTTTGAATAGTATGTCTCTTTTTATCGTTTTGAAGTTGGTACTGTTACGGGAATGTCGCTTAGCCATGGGATGCCTAGTTGCTTCATTTCCACCGCCAGCTGGAAGAGATAATCGAGACTACGATGATATTTGGGTCAGTTGATCGACGTTTAGGTTTAAATGGAGCCGAACCCACCTTTCACACATGGTCTTCGCCTTGTGGACATTATCACCCCAGACGTAGACGCCATGTCTTCGTACCAGGACCGCATAGGTGTCCGGGTGTTGATCCATGGCCTCTTCCAAGAACTCGGTGAGATCTTCCTCGTGGGCCGTGTTTTCGATGACGGGGATGCGCAGAGTGTCGTGGTAGCCTAGGTTACCCTGTTTCTGGAAGCCCTTGCCGAAGCCCTTGATCTGCTCGATGTTGTTGATCTCGAACAGCTTGTCCTTGCCGGGGCCCTGAGCCTCAAGGAGCAGGGTGACGAGCACGGCCCAGTGGGAATGAGTGTGGATACAGCAGCCGGCTCCCCGCTTGGTGAAGGCTGCGAGGAACAGCGGTGTGCATTGCGAGGGCCGACCGCACGGCGGAGCTCGCAGGTAGACGCGGTTCTTAAGGTCCGTCTGCTTGGATAGCGCGAGCACGTAGATATCAGTGTTCTTCATAAGCTCCTTCTGAACGCCTGAAGGTGCAATGTATACTAGATCACTGGAACATTGAGGTATGAGACAACATTCTTCTATTTATTTTGTACTGCCGCAACAGGGGGGGTAGGGACAGGTGAATATGAACGAGGCCATATTAAATTCAAATAAAATCAAACCCAGCCAAATCAACTCGATGCAAGGAGAAGAATGAAGTCTTACTCGTTGCGAATAGAACATCCTCCTCCCGTCCCCGTAACCCAACCCAAAGTCCAAAACTTGGCGCATAGGGAAGGGATGAGGTTTGCCGGGTGATCAGGATCTTCCGATGTTATGTAATGGTCGTCACTCATTTTTGACTTTTTTTTTTCTTTCTTCAAGGGGAATCCGGTATACCGGATGGCTGGTTGCGCTATGGGAGATGAATAAGATTAGGCCAGGTTGGCCTCTCGGACGAAGAGAGTGTGTGACTGACTGGAAGTGTGATAAGTTCGGTACTTTAAAAATTGGCGGAGAAAAAGAATACGTATGGTTCAGTTATTAGCAAATAAAGTTGGATGAGGCTAAAGTCGAGTATCACGGCACAAATCCTAAATTCTATCTGTTCCCCACTCGCTAGGGTATAGGTAGAGTGTGGTGTATGTACATAGTATGTAGATCACGCAAGCTTGGGGCGTACAGACCTAATAGTTACTGTAGAGGTAAGCACTATCTAACCTATCAAATAGCATATCTGTACACTTGGCTAACCTATATAGATCAATTTCTATCTTATCTGCTTATGTACGTAGTATCAATGGCTTTATAGACATGTGCTTCTCGGAAGCTAATTAAATAAAAAGGATCAACTAACCTTTTGGCATCTCGGCTTTATAACAACATACATAAATAAGAATTAGTTTAGGTACTGCAGAAGTATGTAGCATTAAGTCCCATTCACCGAGTAGGTTTGCCGGGCTTGATGCCATCTCTGTGATAGTGAATACAAACCCGATAATATCAATGGTCCTACGTCGCACCATTAATTAAGTGATATCATGTTGACAGATTTCACCGCTCTTCCCATTATGGACAGACTAGCAATCTTATCAATCGTAGTGCGCATTGGTTATTAGAAGAGATTATAATATATTAGGTACATGTTTTGTTGTTGATAGATGTGAATAGTATTATTTTCACTTTCTTGACTTATATGAATGGAGTTGTCTTCTGATAATCGGTACTTTACTATCGTAAGTGATACATTCAATGTATTAGTGCAGAGACTGCCCGCTGGTCGGTCGGCGCCTGTATGTACCTATTTAAAGCCTTACTAGAGCTATGGTCATTAGAGCTATGGTCATAGAAGGTGCTTCCCAAAGATTCCATAAGTATCCCCCGCAATCTCATGTACTAAAGTATATTTTCGATCCCGAGAGTCTAGCCAATCAGAGCGCGGAACAAGGGAACCGAAAAGGTACGTACTGTCTTTTGGCCACGTTTGCATGGAAGGTCCGCCGCCAATAATTAAAAAGTTCACGAAGAGCTTCTGCAATTGCTTCTTCCTGCGTCCATCTTTTCTTTCTTCGTAGAGCTCTGGGAGTTCTTTCTCAACGTCACTCTCAATCTATCTCCATCCCTATCTCTGTGCTAGACAGAAGAGATCCAGAGAGACAAGCAAAGTAAAGCAACCTAGCATTGCTAGCTTTTCATCATGAAGTTAAACTCTGCTATCGCCGCCGCCTTGTTGGCTACCGGCACTTATGCCGACGATGCCTCCAAGGTTGAAAACACCGAGTCGTCAACTTCTGTTGGCGTCGAAGTACCAACTTTCACTGTGAGTTATCTCCAACAATTAATTGTTACCTCTTTTGCTTAATTGGTGGCTTCGTTATTCTTCCTGTGCAGCTTAACTAATACTTTTTTTACTTGCAGCCTACCACCATCAAAGCTCCCTTCCTAGAGCAGTTCACTGATGACTGGGAGTCACGGTGGAAGCCTTCCCACGCCAAGAAGGAGACCAAGGGTCAAGAAGAGGAATGGGCCTACGTCGGCGAGTGGGCAGTCGAAGAGCCTTACAAGTTTAAGGGCATCGAGGGTGACAAGGGTCTTGTTGTCAAGAACGTCGCTGCTCACCACGCCATCTCCGCCAAGTTCCCCAAGAAGATCGACCCCAAGGGCAAGGAATTGGTTGTCCAATATGAAGTCAAGCTCCAGAGTAAGTTAATCAATCTCGACACAAGTTTATAAGTATCAACTTTCTAACTTTGTCATTTCCAGAGGGTCTTGAATGCGGTGGTGCCTACCTGAAGCTCCTCCGAGACACCAAGTCTCTCCACCAGGACGAGTTCAGCAACACCACGCCGTACGTTATCATGTTCGGTCCTGACAAGTGCGGTGCCACCAACAAGGTTCACTTTATCTTCAACCACAAGAACCCCAAGACTGGCGAGTACGAGGAGAAGCACCTGTCTGCTGCCCCTCCCGCCACCATCCAGAAGACTACCGAGCTCTACACTCTGGTCGTCCGCCCCAACAATACCTTCACTGTTAAGCGGGGTGGCGAGTCTGTCCGAGATGGTAGCCTCTTCGACCAGTTCTCTCCTGCCATTAACCCCGAGAAGGAAATTGACGACCCCAACGACTCGAAGCCCGAGGACTGGGTTGATGAGGCCCGTATTCCCGACCCTGATGCCAAGAAGCCTGAGGACTGGGATGAGGATGCGCCATTCGAGATTGTCGACGAGGAGGCTACTAAGCCTGAAGACTGGCTTGAGGATGAGCCCTTGACCGTCCCTGACCCCGAGGCCCAGAAGCCTGAGGATTGGGATGACGAGGAGGATGGTGACTGGATCCCCCCTACTGTCCCTAACCCCAAGTGTGCCGACGCCTCTGGATGTGGCCCCTGGACCAAGCCCTTAAAGAAGAACCCTAACTACAAGGGCAAGTGGACCGCACCGTACATTGACAACCCCGCCTACAAGGGCGTCTGGGCTCCTCGCAAGATCAAGAACCCCAACTACTTCGAGGACAAGCACCCTGCTAACTTTGAACCTATTGGAGCTGTAAGTGATACTAAAGTTGCATATCATATGATAATATATCTAACTTATTGTCGTAGGTTGGTTTCGAACTCTGGACTATGCAGAACGACATCCTCTTTGACAACATCTACATTGGTCACTCCGAGGCTGACGCCGAGAAGTTCGCTCAGGAGACTTTCTTCAAGAAGGTTGCTGTTGAGAAGGCTCTCGAGGAGGCTGAGAAGCCCAAGGCTGACGACTCACCCAAGTCTCCCTCGGATCTTAAGTTCTTAGATGACCCCGTCCTTTACGTCAAGGAGAAGCTCGACCTATTCACGACCATTGCCGCAAATGACCCTATCCAGGCTATCAAGTTCGTGCCTGAGGTTCCTGGTGCCATTGTTGCTTTCCTTGCTCTCATTGGTACCATTGTCAGCGTCCTCTTCCTTGGAGGTAGCGCGCCGGAGCCTGTTAAGAAGGCTGCCGCAGACGCTAAGGAGAAGGCCAAGGATGCTAAGGAAAAGACGGCCGAAGCTGTCGCAACAGGTGCTGAGAACGTCAAGGCTGAGGTTAACAAGCGTACCACACGACAACAGTCGTAGGGGGCGATAGTTATGAGAAGATGAAGGGGCAATGTGGAGACAAAAACAGGCGACTTATTGTAGCGTAGTAAGAACAGTTAAGGGGATATGGTGCGATAATAAGGGCACGCCTTTGGGACTTCAACTTTACTTTGCATGGCGCCGGTGTATTTTACCTACCCTATCCAATGAACTGAGTTAACTGAATTATTGTTTTGATGCAATCTATGTAACTGCATGTTGTGTATTATGTCACACTAGGCATTGTTGGAGATTGTCATAATGCATTCACTAAGAGTCATAACTTTTGTGCCATTTTTTTATTTATTTTGTTATTTTCTAACAAGCCATACAACCCAAACAAAATCAAGACGAGTAGGGGAGTAGTTAATGTGATGTTTTCCAGCGGAGATTAAAGAGCTATCGTCGTCAAGCAATAAAAGCCATAAAAGACAAAGCTTTAATTATGAGATAAAGCAAAAAAAGGGGCTGAAAGGAAAAGTAAAACACCAACCAAGAAGACGTCCTACCTAACTCCTGAGTCCTGGCCTTGCTTGTATGAGTAACCCTGTTAACATAGTGTTTAGTTAACCCATTGCTGACCAAAATATACTTACTAGTATTGGACACTTGTCCAAGACATTAAACAGCGAGTAGTCCTAGAAAACTACCTAATGAACACGTTTAATAGAGTTATGTAAGGTGGGCAAGGTTAAATAAACATGCTCTTCTCTAGAGGCCGGAAGATATCGCTATAGTCAGATCCGTCGCAGACGGAGGCGTCGTCGTTCAACCCGGAACTTACTGCCTTGTCTTCCTCGTCTTCCTTTCCTTCCTCGCGCAGGGCGCTACGGTACTTGCTCAGGGGGGACGGGGTTGGGCGCGGCTTTAGGCGCCAGTGGGGGGGACTAGGGAGGGTGAATTTGGGCATGGGGTCCTCGGGGGGGAGAGCGTTGGAAAGTATGGAGGCCATGGGGGGTGCGGATAGATCGACTACGTCGCCTTTGGCCAGGGCTTCGCTCTCGTCGGCGTGGAGGGGCACGGCGACGTTCTCGTTCCTCTCGATGTGGGGGATTGTCTTGCCCGTCTTGGGACAGCACGTGGGGTACACGTTGTAGGTGCGGGCGCGCTTGAGGCCCATGGACGCGAGGATCGCGTTTTGGTCCAGACTGTCCCGGCGGTCGCACCAGAGGAAGTTCGGTCCGACGTCTGGGGCCTTCGCCCGGCACTGGTCGTACTCCTGGCGAAGCTCCTCGTCGGTCATGGCGAACCATGGCTTCTTCTTCTTCTGCTGCTGCTGCTGCTGCTGCTGCTTCCGGGTGGGAGAGCCGGGCTTTACGGGTGCGGTGTTGGGTCTGCGTGCTTGGAACTCCTCGCGGAGGACACTTGTTATGGAGTTTGCGTCTTCGTCGTCTACGTCGTCTGCGTCAGGGAGATTTTCACGGAACTTTCCATGATGTTGGGGGTGTGTGGTCCAGCAGCGTCTCGTGGGTGGCCTAGAGGAATTGTAGTCTAGCTCTGTAGGAGGGATTGGCCTAAGGACTTCCTCTTGAGATGCTGCGGACCTGTTCAACGATGTCGTCGAAAATGTCCGCTTAATCTTCTTGGCGACGTTGGATGCGCTGAAACGAACCATTTTGCCTGATAGCTTGTCTGATGAAATGATTAGTTGACTGAGTAAGCGTGCAGTTTTCTGACTACAAAGTGAGCGAGGTCTAGTGAGCGAGGGTCTTGTGAGCGAGGTCTTGTGATGGGAGAAGGTGGCTTTGGCTTGCGGGATAAGGAATAAATAGTTTCCAAGACTTCTGAACAATGTTATTCATTGTCTGTGTAGCCCGTACATTTCCACACAATGACATTATAACATTATGGGCGGACAATGGGATAGTTATTATATAGAGAGAATGTTCCTGCCAGCGTGCTCAGATGAGAAAACACAAATCTATCCCCTGCTCTATAGCTTTGTCTCGTAACGCCCCTATTCATCTAGTAGATTGTATAGTGGACGTCTACTAAGACAACGTAGACAATGGGCTTTGTTGCTACCAAGAAACCCTCCATTCTGTCCCTCAACGAGCAGGTTCTCGAAGAACCATTGTGAACAAGCCATACTTAAAACTACACACGGACCAGACAAATCAGCTAGCAGATTAATACGATTCGCGATGTGCCAAATCTGGAGTCAGGAGTACTCCGAATGCCACCACGTCTCCAGGAATCTAATCCATTGCCCTACATACTACAAGCAGCAGAGCGAGGCAAACAGTTTCCTGGGACGTCTTTTCAACGGCAGTGTTAAGAGAAAGAAAGACTGTGGACGTGTCATCCCTCACTATGGAGAGTTGGTACCCTTTTGCCCGGCTTGCTCGGTCAAGAATGACCAGCTATGGGGTAATCCGGTTGGTGATGGGGCCTTGAGGGTCCGTCACCCGCATATGAGGGATGAGTATCAATACCACTCCAGAGAGCATCGTGAAAGAAGTGAGAACTCGGCCGAAAGGTCGTGTAGAAGATCAGACAGGCATGGGCAGGAGGGCGTATGGATTCCGGGGCTGTACTACGAGCCGGAGAATCTCGCACAGAGAGACCCCTACATCCGTACGGCGGGAAAAGCACGACCAGTCAGTCCGGTACAGTTACCGCCTAGACCACCCAGTAGACCCGAGCAGAAACGGGATAAATCAGAAGCACATCCGCTAAGTTCGACAAAAAACTACGACGAACATGAACATAGACATCAAGTGTCCACCAGCAACCAACCCTCCCAAAAAGCCGAGAGAAAAGGGGATAAGCCGGTAAAAAGCAACGAGCGTAGACTCCGCGTAACCACTAAGGAAACCTCTAGCTCTAACATATCTCGCCGCTCCGGGGAACCGGCCTCGCCGGCACCAAACCGTGACCGTGAACGCCGCGAAGCAGACGACAGGGATAGGGACAAATCCGCCAGAAGCAGGAGATCCTCTCGAATACCTACCCTTATACGTCGCCCTCCAACACCACCCCCCAAAGACCCAGTGCGCAAATGGCCGCCGCCCATCCGGCACTATATAGACCCGATACCAAAACCACAACCACAACCACCTACCTCGCACTACGTCGTCGACCCGATACCGAAGCCGGCGCCGTCGCCTATCCACTGGGTCTACCCAATACCGAAGCCGCCCCCCGCACCACCTCCGGAGAAACACCCGCGACTGCGGCGCAAACCCGGCCAAGTCCACTACGCCCCGCCGCCGCCGCCATCACCCAGTGCCCCTGCGCTCAAGCCGCCCCCCGCGCCGCTGCCCGAGTACCAAGTCTACCTGAACGCGCAGCGCTTCGCCAAAGACTACCACCCGCCGGCCTCGCCCGCCATCGAGAAGAGCATCGAGCCGCCTATGTTCCGGCCGCCCCTGCGGCCGCCCCCGCAGCGCAGCAAAGCGTCCCACCCCGGGGCCGGGCTCGTGAGCGGATTCCACGTGCGTCCGGCGCTGCGAAGGGTCGGTCCGCTGCGCTTCTCGGATAGTTCTTCCGATGAGAGCTTCGTGTGTTGCGACGCGCGGCAGCTGACGCTGAATGGGGCGCGGGCTTCCCGATGACGCCCTGGTATGTATGTCAGATGTTGATAAATCTGTCGCCGCCGTCGTCGTTGTTGTTGTTGTTGCTGCTGCTATTCGTGGCAGTGATAGTAATGGAGTTAGTAAGTTACAAACCCCTGAAATTTTGGCTGTTTAGAAAGAATTTTAGGTACGTATAGGTATACGTAGGTATACATCGATATATATAGATACATACACACATGTGATGTGTCGACACCATTTCGATTCGTTTATACATATTATATAGGGACGGACGGTCGGGTGGCTTTTCTGCAAAGTTTAGTTAAACTAATAAAATGAGTTTTAGAGGATCAGTGTTGTCTTTGTGGGATACGTAGGTATTATTCTATGTGTTTTGGTATTAATGTTGATGATAATTCTCGTGTAATTTTCTATATGTCGAAGATGATATGCCGGGAGCGACTATACGTTGAGAAGGTCCCCCGTGCCTGTGCGGACTTTATATACACCCATGTGCAGGAGTAAAGAGTACTAACTAATTAAAGGGGTTTGGCTGAGTCTTGCCGCTCAAACTCCTATCGCTATCGCAATGTGCCAGCGTGGTTCCTCGATCGGTTTCTACAGTAAGCCGTCGCCTTGTAGTTCGCCGAATATCTCTTCTAGGTAACATCCCAACCTAGGAGTCCTCATTGTAGGCGACATCTCATATTGGATGTGCAAAATGGCGGTATTGCACGCGCCAGCTGTCCTTCCTTCTCATATAGCCCTCAAAGCTATCACAGCCGTGGATTTTTGCCTCATGCTGTTACTGTCCTCGCGCTCATTGAGCCTTCCCATTCTTCGCCGCACCGGCCTTTCGTTCCTTAAACTTGGCGATTTCCACTTGAACAGCCTTCGAAACGCGGCTTTGTAGTTCCCGCCTGTAGCCGAACTTGAACAGGAACTCGAGCCAGACGAAAAGGGGCGCCAGAAAGACGGCCTGTGTCAGGTTGTCTAGCAGTGCAGGCGCTCGGCCCTCGAACGCGCCGTGCCCGACGAATTGGAGCAGCCAACATACTATGTGTACCGTAAGCGCGACCTGGTTCGTTAAGGTGGGGTTTTCGGCGACGGCGGTGTTCGTGACCGCGGCAGCCCCGAGGCATATAAACGCGAGAATAGTTCCGGCTACGGGCTCGAGAAGGACGTAGAGGCCGCCCCACGTAAATGCTGCTAAGGTACCGAGATTAAGGTCCAGATGGGGTATCGTTAAGTATGTAGGTAAGGGGATGAGTGTCCCTGTATTTGCGGCCTGTTGCGAACGGTCATGTTTGTTAATAATATCTGTATAGGGGGTAGGGGGTAGGATAGGCGATTTGTCGGTTCGACTTACCAAGGCAAAGCCGGAGAATAATATTAGAGGGACGCATATCATGTGAATGGCAATGTTGACCGAGTTATGGTGGTAAGCGCCATACTGCAGAGGCGCGGTTAGGTTAGTCTTAATATTGTTTTCTATAGGAGGTAGTTGTAACTATTGTATTAAACATTAAACATTAAACATTAAACTTACAAAGGTCAATTGTCTCTCGAGGTTGAGTGCCATGATGACAGCTAAACGGAGGTAGGGGTGGTGATGGCTTGGCTTAGCTTAGCTTAAGTCGCGTACCTCGGAAGGTCGTGGGAGGTAGAGAACGGGATTAATTCGAGGTCGAAGTCAAGTATAAAAGAGACCCCGGGGAATAGAAATAATTATGGAACTAATCCTTTTAGTGATCGGCCACGGCGGAAGGTGAGGAGCAGTGGAAGTGGGGCATCATCATTCACGCTGCACGCATTATGTATGTACCTCTCTATTCACGTCCACTATTAGTATTTGTATATGTATATATTTCCTTCAAACGGGAATCGTACAAAGGTAAGCTTCCCGTCAGAATTTCTATGTAGGTAGGAAGGCTAAGCACATGCAAACACACTTCAATTGCGCCAAGTAACAGTACCTTACATATGTACCTTATGTACCTATGGTACCGGATAAAGAGACGGGAATGAGTAATAAGTGACGACGTTGTGCATCTAAGGTAACTACCTAGTACCTGCTTGAATGGCTTCGGTGTCATTGTACCGAACTGAAACTGAAACCGAGGTTTTCCCTGCGAGGCTGCAAAAATGTACCCCTAAAGAATTGCCTTACAACCTTTTGATGCACAGGTACATGAATTAGGTAACAGCTACCTTAATGTAGGTACCTAAGATAAGTGGGGCTCCCTACCGTCTTCCCCCCCAGGTTGCACTAAGGCAAATAAGGTCCAGGGTTGCTTGGAAGTTCCTAAACCAGACGCGACTCGTTCCTTTATCATCCAGACTTTCTTGAGGCTACACCAAATTTTCTTTCAGCCCTGTTGTCGCATTCATCATCGCACCACAAGCGCATAGCTTTACATTGTCTTATTATATTTCTTGATGATTTTATGATACCCTCAGGTAGATTGCCGCTTTTTGAGGCTCAAGGAGGCTCCAGGTTTGCACCGCCTCAGCCTACCTTTTAGCATCCCATCATCCCATCGACCCATCGACTCATCCTGTTTCCCGCGAGTCCTCGTCACTACACCTTTCTTGCTTGGCCTTCAATCACCTACCTCTGCCTTGGCCTAGGCCCTGTCAGATATCACCCTTTACGCATCGCGATAGCTCATCCTAGTGGCCTTACATTTCAACGATCAATCCCGCGATCAATCTTACCGTAGCAGCGCCATCTCGATATCTTCTACAACCTCCCTCTTACCAATTAGATCATCTGGCGCGAGCATATAGACGTGTCAAAATGTTCTTCCTCTACAACCTCGAGCGAAGGGTTACCCTTCATCCTTCGTACTTCGGCAAGAACATGCACGAGCTGGTCACGGGCAAGCTTCTTAAGGATGTTGAAGGCACGTGTACCGGAAGCTACTATATCATTTCCATCATGGATACCTTTGACATCTCCGAAGGTCGTATCCTTCCTGGAAGCGGCCTCGCCGAGTTCACCGTCGGCTATCGTGCTGTGGTCTGGCGCCCCTTCAAGGGCGAAACGGTAGGTTCTCTGGGCTGACCTTTGACGCTACAAACCTTTGCTAAGTAAGTAAGATGGACGCCATAGTAGTCTCCGTCAACCAGCATGGCTTCTTCGCCGAGGCAGGACCGCTTCGGATATTCGTGTCCACCCACGTAAGTAGTCCCCTTGACATCGGCGCGTATGACGTTAGTTGACAGCCCCTGTCAAGTTGATCCCGCAAGAAGTTAGATGGGACCCGAACGCCACACCACCTCAATTTACTAACAACGAGGACACTACGATCGAAGTTAACACCCAAGTTCGTGTTAAGATTGTGGGCACGCGAGCCGAAGTCGGCGAGCTATGGGCGATTGGAAGTATCAAGGAAGACTATCTCGGGTATTTATCACCTCCTTTCGTGTCTTAAAGTATCTACTAATGGCCTATAGAACGCTACAAAACTAGATAATGTAGTGCTTTCGGACTTCAGGCGTCCTTGTCTGTTGCTTGGTGCCGTCCACGTGTGAGGCGGAATATGTGCGCATCTACAGGATTGCGCAATCCATAGGATATAGGCCTTGGTACTTTGAGAGCTATTGATCTTAACAATAGTAGTACTACATAGGCGTCTTTACGCAAGGTAAAGTCACACAGACCCCAGTCTTGCAAATTTCGGATATGCTAGGCGACTTAGGTAGCCACCTAAATAGCATCTAGCGTTCAGTTTTGACTATGACGTACGATAAACGTATCCCACGAGCCATAGCGTCTATGCCTCAAAGTAAAACCGTTCTGTTGGGAAAACCTAAGCAGAGCCTCGAAACCTTATTAATATATAATCCCGGGAACATGGCTGTTTACCATAGTAACCAGATACGACTGTTCGACGTTTTGGTTGGAAGCAATTAGCTAGCCCATTAACCTTATATTATGGTTGATATAATAAATGGTCATTATCTCAGAATATATCCTCTTAAATTGGCATATTTACTACGTTTATTTCTACTATTTTCAGTGTTAGTATATGAAGGCTGGTTAGAAAGGAGAGAATAGCTCGTGCAGCGTTAATTGTACTCAGGTATTATCCGTATCTTCAAAAGTTGATTGTAAGACTCGTAATAACTCAATGGGTTGCGTTGGGCATAGTTCTAAGCCGTTGATGGAGCGGGTTGTGCCTAGTCTCGGCGCTTCTATCACTTTGAATTTAGTGAAAGTCAACAAGTAGCATCACCAAGTCAACAAGTGGCAAAGCACGTAAAATACCAGCGTTGAATTCAATGGCTGTATCAAGAACAAAACTTTGTGAAAGATTTGCCAGCGCTATCTATGGGCTAGATGTCGTATGACAAGTTTAGAACGATGGAAATCCCCATCCCCCCTATAACTCTATACACCACTCCCCCTATTCAAAGCTTGAATTTTTTTCGTTTACACCAGGTGAGAATAGTCCAAACGACCAAATCGAACTCTGTTTTTAGTTTTGTTTACAGAGTATATATACCTACCATGCCGTTGTAAACAATTCGTTCCTATTCTTCACTTTCTTCACTCTCATTACCCAAGACAATCGTCGCGCAGCATATTCCGGTATATCGCAACCATTACTTTGTAACGGCTCATTTTTACCATAACTACCTGTTCGAAATTGTCGAATATTCTCATATTACTACACTTCACTTACATCACCTCAATTTATATCACCTCACTTACATCACCTCAATTCATATCATTTCACTTACATCACATCAATTCATATCACCTTACATTACCGCTGCATCTACGGCGATATCAAATCCTTCGTCATGGCTCTCCGTTTCACCTACGCTAGACGGGTCCTCACCAGACGGGGTTCAGGCCCATTGCCGTTCGGGACAGCTTACCGTGGACGTCGTCCAGCCATGTCTGCCACTATTGCTAGGCACATGGTCAGAAGCTTCTCCCACATGCTGAACCCTCGTCGGAGACGCTCTTCAAGCCAGGATATGTTGCTGTATCTTATCGCCCAAGAAGGTTTGGGCTTGTCCCCTGACCGGTGGGACTTCATCATTGACGCCATTCGAAACACATCTAAGCCGGATCCCGATAGAATGGAAGGCTTAGAATTCACCGGACTTTTGACAACTAACGACAAACTTGATATTGATGGCGACATTGTCATGACTGACGCCATTCGAAATATATCTAAGCCGGATCCCGACAGAATGGAAGGTTTAGAATTCACCGGACCTGACAGAATGGAAGGCATAGAATTTACCGGACCCGATAGAATGGAAGGCATAGAATTCACCGGACCTGACAGAATGGAAGGCATAGAATTTACCGGACTTATGGACACTGATGGCGACACTGTTATGACTGATTCCCCCCTCTTTCTACCGACGATGTCATGACTGATTCCCCCCCCCCCCCCCTTTCTACCGACATTGTCATGACTGATTCCACCCCTATTCTACCGACACTGTCATGACTGATTCTACCCCTATTTCTACCGACAGAATGGAAGGCTTAATTGTCAATCTGTCCATAAGTCCGGTGAATTCTAACGGCAAACTTGACACTGATGGCGACATTGTCATGACCTGATTCCACCCCTCTTCTACCGACATTGTCATGACTGATATTACCATGGATATCGACACGCCTGTCATCCTTCACCCTTGGACATCGCGATGCCTAGCGACCACCCACTTGAGAACACAAACGAATACACCACACCAATCAAAACACGCCAATTATTCGGCCTAGAGCAACTCTCGCTCGTAGGCCTCCACACAAAACGCAAACTCGAAAAGGAGGCAGATTCCTCCTCCGAGGAAGCTAAGCAACCACGACGCAAGATCACCAAAGTGACAAAGAGACCGTCTCTCGACCGCAAGGAATTCTTGTCGGTCCCCAAGGCAAATGGCCTAGTACGGCGGCCGTCTCTTGTACACCATCGCCGCAGCCTATCCCACTCATTGAGGTTACGGATCCCAGACGGCAATGTTGTCGTTGATTTGGATAGGAGGACTAGGGTGTGGAGGCCCGGATATGTTGACAGGATTATGATGGTTAGAACACGAAGCAAAGATGGATACACCTGTTAAAACTGGGAAATCGTGGAACCCAGATGAACTATGTTATAAGCCGCGAGGCTTCACTGGATTGTATAGGCCAGTTGAATAGAGACTCGACTGAGAGCCTGGGAGTCTTTGGTGGAATACATTCTAAGCCTCGGGGCTTCACTGGGCTTTGTGCCCCTATTGGGAGGATGTTCGCATACCAAAGTGGATATTTTGGAAGATTGGACTGCATCTCCGTTGGAGTTTCGGTTTGTTGGAGGATATTCCAAGCCTCGAGGCTTGATGTGCTATCTGGTCGGCATGTGACCATTTCTGGGAGTTACTGCGAAGTTTCGGTTTATTGGAGGATATTCCAAGCCTTGAGGCTTGACGTGCTATCTGGTCGGCATGTGACCATTTCTGGGAGTTGCTGCGAAGGAATTTTGGAAGATTGGACTGCATCTTTGTTGGAGTTTCGGTTTATTGGAGGATATTCCAAGCCTCGAGGCTTGACGTGCTATTTGGTCGGCATGTGACCATTTCTGGGAGTTACTGCGAAGGAATTTTGATTTGGTGGAATAGATCTTGAGCCTCGAGGCCGATAAAGATCGTATGGGATCTGTCAGAAGGACATCAGCTGTTTGAATTTCAACGAGCATTAAAGGGAGTTTAAGGGAAACTTGGAAAGTCCCTCGAGGGATAAATTATAAACATCAAGGCTTTACCGGATCACAGAGATTCGACGACGGATATATTGGTGTTTCGAAATGAATATTAAGGGATTGATGGACGCTCCTCGTGTGTGTTGTTCCGGTATGTGCTATATGTGAAATCGTAGTGTTCGATCCTGCAAGATTCATGCCCTCTATACTGTTGTCGAACTTCCATCGCACTAGAATTTTTAACTCCCCAACTATAGTAGGCGATATTATAATCAATACGAGTATAGGGTGACGGTGAATATATCAGCATCACCTACTAACCGCTGGCGGCCTCGTAGGTAGCTTGGTTAAGTCATGGGTTAAATAGGGGGTGCATTATTACGAGGATATGAAGGTGGAATATATTCACGTTTTTGAAACTAGGTACCTAGGCAGTCAACTGGAAGGAAGCACGCTAAAAGTAATCTATGTTGGTTGGTTAGGACTACCTATCTAACGCTGAGGGAGGGAAGAATGGGAAGTGACCAGCCGTCGTAGGTTCCTCATCTATTAGTGGTTAGGGGGGGTGCGACACGCAGAGCCACACCCAACCTACCCCTATCCAATAAATGGAAGGAGCACACTACGGCAGGTATATGCTACAGATTTAACTCAATGGTACTTTGCGTTTTCGTTATCGACTAGATCAAATCTACCAACCAACATAGAACCAACATAGATCGCTTTCTTATGCCATCAACGCGCAACACTAGCCGACACATGAACAAAACATAAGCGCTACGGATAGTATTTCCCTAAATGGGAGAGCACATATAAACGAGAACAAGTATAATATAACTACGAGAAACACCTAGGCAGCTGCCTTAGGTACTTTCGAACCCCGGATGCGGTGGATGACGGGTGACAGGTCAAATTTCGTATACATGCTCCCTCACCTATAATGCTATCCTAACCACGCCAGAGGTGATCTCACACACGGCTCACCTTCCATTCAAAAAGGGTGTAATCCTTGGTTCTTTAGGGTGCCATTATTTCGATGCTATACCGTTCCGGATCGGGATTTGACAGTTTAAATAGACTGTGACCACGACCGTTAGCCAGAGTACCGCCTAGAGATCCAACGCCCCTTAATGATAGTGATCATAAACGCACTCTTTCCTCAATCGTGTTTCGAACCCAGTTTTCTTTCCCCGATCATGAATAACAACATTCACCTCCTAGGCTCTATTGCCTTCAGCCTCGGGAGTGGGATAGGAGATAATCTGCCGAAGCTCGGTCTTAGACTCATGAGAACATCTCCAACACCCTTGTCACTATCTTGCCGACGAAGTTGGAGGTGTGCTTGATTATGGAGAACGGTGAGAGCTAGGATCTCGATGCAAACGCCGCCGGCAGGAAAAGCAGGGAGCGCTCCCACGTCCCAATCAAATACAGACACATTTCGAGTAGCATCACTAGAATTATCACACCGAAGCCATCTATCACTTTGCAATACGCTATACCACTTAGTCCAAAATTATGGTAGGATTGCTCCTATCCTATGATTAATCAGGGTGGGTCTTCTGATGCTATACTGTGCTATTCCGTCGACCTGTTTCTCAGGAGGACGAGGCCTGTGACAAGGTACCTTTCAGTCAGTCGGAACATAGTCAGACTGCTTCGACCTCAGCCGTAAGACGAAGCAAATACACACACCCACTCTAGACACCCTCACATGTTCTCTTCATTACTCCCGACAAGGCACTAATGCAGCACGCATGCATAACGAAATAAAGTTAACTATGCACTAGATTATCCATGTCACCATCAGTTGGTCTATACTGATCTTGTTTGTTGGTAGTCGGAGTTGTAATGGGGAAAACTAAGGGTTAAGCTAAGAGGCTCCTTTCCTCTCGTATAAAGAAATAGTGTAGCCCAATACGTTGGCGTGATGCTTCCCCATAATTACTATACCAGAGTATCGGGACGAGTATCGGGACGAGTATAAGATTGAACTCGGAAAAGCCTTGAAATTTCAAGCAGAAAAGCGGCCCGCGCCGCCCGAACCGTGACTCAAGGCCGAGCACTCGTACGGATCGATCTATTAGAGCCTCATATGAAATACTTTCGCTCGCAAAGGTTCAGTCCATGAGAGGTCGAACCAAGCAACAGGTAATGGTGGTGCGTAACCCCATTGTGACACAACATCTCCCGGAACCGAAACCGACGGATTGGGTAGAATGACCCGAGCTGCTCAAAAAAGGGGGGCTTATGACGAATCCACTTCACATTTACCCAAACTTGCGTTGAAGAGGGCCTAGTATATACACTACCCCGTAACGCTGGGAGATTCGAATCCTACCGTACAGTAACACGTCTCCTGGGTTGTATTTTTTCAGAAGCTACTGAGCCCGCCAGGACGGAACCCCATGTATTCAAAACAAGGGCTGACCAATGGGATCGTACAGCCAAGTAGTCTTTAACGAATCAGCTTTCATTCCGTGCTCGGCTACGTATGCGACCGATCATCTGCTGGCAGGGGGGCTCCACCGACGAATCCTACGAGAGAGTATAGAGAGTATACTCAAATCCTAGATTCGCGGCCCGCACGCCATTCCCAAAGCCGACCTCCCGTTCCCCATCCGCCGCAGTCTGGCTAGGCTATGCTTGTTGGGCTATATTGTGATAGCGGCTCTGCTCCCCAGAGGACCCATACCAGCGGTGTTCTTCATCAGGGTCTTTTGCGTAACCCATCATCCGATCTACAACGTTTTCCGGGCTAACCTCGCTTCACGAGGATTTCGATCTAACCCTTAGTATATTCTTGCATATCCGCCCAGACTTTCTACTTGGCCAAAGCATACCCGGGTCACTATAACCCACGATGAGAGCTTACGAAGAACCCCGCACGGGATTTGCTCATATCGTTGTCTACTCCAAGGTTACAGTATATGGCTGAGACAAGCGGATACATCTATACGGCTCTTAACCGTGCCACTATCGAACATTCGTGCATACTGCATACCCATGTCGCAATACTGCTTTTCGACGGAGCCGCCAACATATAGTATCGATCGGATCAGATCATGGCAACAACGCGGCCATAACCCAACTACTAACGCAGAGGCACGAGGTAGCCATGTGAGAGTCGCCAAATGTATATTTTTCTAGGCCAAGAGACATATACGGAATACGTTTAAGCGCCGTAACGAAGAAAATACCCCTGCCACTCACATACTATGGTATCAATACTGGATATGGCCTATACCTTGTTTTTGCCAATACCTCCTCCTGGCTCAATAGACCATGAAGTAATTCTTAGGGGGTGCTGCCAGCTCAGCACCAGGGTATATCATAGTCTAGATCAAGAACAGTTCGAACTAACGAAGAAGAAACTCTTACGTGTGTATGAGGCCTTTTCATATCAGCCCTCAAACTTGGCGCTGCATAAACCTATCAGCTAAACTCCACCCAGCAAAAATAGAAGGCATCGTTACCGCGTAGACGGAACCCAATCAGCAGCTTAAGAGTGATAGCATGGGTTCCCCTATAGCGACAAGGGGTGCTACCGTGAGTCTACAGCAGCAAGGCTATAACCGTCCATCGTATATCTTCTCCCGGATGTAACTAAGCTACATAAGGAAGCCGGTTACTGTGCATAATCATGCAAATCGCGGAACAGAATTCGCTTTCACCTGACTGTTCCGCGGGTAGGTCTCCATAGATCCCACAAGGAGCCTCTGGAGAGTTAGGAACGGTAATGGCAACTAACAGTAACATTAGGCGGCTATGGCAGCAAGGAAACAAAACCGATAATGGTACGTAGAAGTAGGCCGGAGAGTTGTATGCGATGCCCCTTGAGCAAGGCAATTAGACGCACACGCTCTCACTACTAAAATTCTTGGACACCGGTAAAGTAATGCCGGAGTTGGAGTACCCAAGTTGAATCATGATCAGTCGGTATGCTCCGTAGTGGATACCTGCTGAAGGTAGCATGAGGAAAATTCCACGGCCATGGATGGCCAAGACAGCCCAACCCGATGAAGAATTATGTCCATTTGACATTAATAAGGTGGATGCTAGTTGTCAGTACTCCTGGACTAGGCTTAACTATTCCCAACCAGTAACACCGCGGTTCAATCACCCGGAATGAGGCTCAAGGTCAAAGGTGGTGACCTTTACGGCCTCCACGGGGGACGATTTCGACCGATGGTAGTGACATGCCACTTGGTTCATGTGCATTATTTCCCTCCCGACCTAGAGGATGGTATCAACACCCTTGTCAAGCCATACTGCCCGAAACTGCGGTGATGAGCATAGTCCTCTCCCTCTTCGACAGATTGTCGTTGCATACCTTATCTCTTGCCGCATACATACAACCTAAGGTATATGCATAGCGTATAACATACCAAGCCGAAAGATCCCGCTTGACGGATGCACTAAAGATAAACAGGCTTTCACTAATACAATTCCCGCTAGCCGTAGCTGTATAACATAGCAGTCTTGGTACCCAGTAAGAGGCAATATGAATTATCATGTTATTAATGGGTACCAAGAGGGTTCTGCATATTGTATAGTTATGGGTTTAAAGTTGACGAATAGGGGTCGCGTCGCAAACCCAGTCCTCTGGACTGGGTCATAGGTACGGAGTAAACTACTCTGGTAGAGACTAAAGCCATCCTCTCTTATGCTGCCGCTGGCGACAATCTCGATCTAGACAGCTGGCGGATTCTAGGATATGTAACCTATTCGCCGCTACAGTGTGGACGCTGGCGTTGGTCGCGGATCCGACCCGGGGAACAGTATGGTAACATAGTGTTGTATCAAGAAGGCTGACGACAGCGATTGATCCTGATTCTATGGTGTTGATGCTCTGGAACTGATTTTCCATGCTATATAAGGATGGCGCTTCTAATGCCTTTGATTTATCATTATCGAGATGCTTCTAGTATGCCATCAAGCCATAGAAGCATATATTCAAATTGTTTAAGAATATATACTTCCTACACACTAA